GAGTATAGTTTTTTATTTTTATTTTCTAAAACCTAGCCCCTCCTTTTGTTATTTACATTTACAGTAGTGGCTAAATTACCGCCAACGGCACCTGTACTGCCTTCAATTTCGACACCTTAAAAATGTATAATCCACCGATGGCATAACCATAGAGTCATATTTTATCAATTTTCAGGACTTGTTTGTCGCCGCGTCCTTTAAGTTTCGATAACCTGTTAACAGTTAAAAATCGGAAAAATAATAAGGGTTCCAGTTCTCACTAAGTTTTTATTTATGAAGAAATAACGGTTTCGGTTCGGTTTTCGGTCCTCAAAAAAATAACTGTTTCTGGTTCCTATTCGGTCCAGTCCGGGTACCTGTTTGGTAGAAGTATCCTCAATCGCGAATATCTATTTTTCAACTGTTTTCCAATGGTCCGATTTGGTCTATCGCTAACATATCTCTGTGGAAATACAGGACTTTTGAGCAAACCCGCAGGCTTTAAACTCGTAGGTTTATACCGATAGCATAGCCGACCAACCTTCACATGCTTCTTCAGATCTCCCCGCATTGTTGGGTAATAGTAACGAGAGGCGACTCTTTGATATGTTTTGTCCACACCGTAGTATCCTGTAAGAGGCGAGTCGTGGCACAGCTTCGACTCCATTGATCAGGATATATCCTCATTTTTCCATCATTTGGCCTATCGCTTTCAAAACATATAACACCGGCGGCGATGTTGCCATCATGACAAGAGAGGCGCGACAACGAATTCGCTATTACGTCTTTCCAGTCGACCACAACGTGATCTTAATCACATTAGCCAACGAAAATGCTGATGATCGGTGGCTACTGTAACCCATGCCTCTTCTAAGCGATATTTCTGCACTGCGAATACAAGATCCGGAGGTTCCCGATCGGTTCTGCTATAATTCCTCTCGGCAGAACTGAGAAGACGCACCTGTTCGTAATTGTCATGTTATGTTAGAAGCGTTGAACATTACTCGTTGGCTGTCAGATATGGACTGGTTTTATTCCGTGTCAACGTTATACATATACAAAGTTATATACAGGGTTGTACATTACGACATCTCCTTCCTTAATTAAACAGCAGAAAACATACTTCATCCTTCCATCTCCTTTCACAATTTTATACACATTGTTGTTGAGTTTTTCAACTATTTTCCCTAGCTCCCAATCACTCTTGGGTTTGTTTTGATACCTAATCAAGGCCCCTGTTTTGAAATCTTGTCTAGGTCTAGTGCCTTTCTTATCATAGTGTTTCATATCTTTATACTGATTCT